AAAGATGTGGGGCCAGCCTGAAAAGGCATCCTCCAAATCCCCTGGGGCCTCAGGTTGATTTACCAGCCTGGCCACTTGGTCCCCAGCACCTGCGACATCCCTGAACCTCACCATTCACACCAGTGGAGCTATAGAGCCAGGTGCTCATAGACTGAAAAACTGGGCTCTCAACTCTTGGATGGGTCCTTCAGCAGGGAAGAAGAGAAGATTTCGCCAGAAACAGAACAGAAAATCCATCTTCTATTCTACCTGTCATTCCCCTTCAGTTACCAATTCCACGGACACCAGCTGTGTCTCCACAGAATTAAGGAGATGCTGGCCACAACATATCTTCATAGGCACAAGAGTGTAAAAAAGGCAACTGTTTAATTATCCTTCCACTTATCTTTATGAAGCACTTTTTAAAATGTGAAATACTTCTCTATTTAAAGGCATGGGTAATTTGCTTTTTTGACCTTTTCATATAAGCTGATGGGTTTTACTATCTTTTGTAGCTGCTGCTCATAGTAGCTGTGAATACAGGGTTATCTTAAAAATATTGGTGTGGGGGTGTAATATGTGTTTAGGATTTATTACAGATATTTTAAAATAACACTACAAAAGGTTTCCAGGAATATCTATAAACTTCACACTTTCATATTGTGAAGCAGTATTTTTCTTTGAAGGTGTGGACCGAACATACTTAAAGACCTTATTTCAGAAAAATTCTAACAATAGCACTACATTTGTAAACTCCTGCAAACACAATCAAAATCATTACTGAATTTCTGTGAAAGATTTTCTGAAAGCAGAAAGTTTTAAACTGCTGTTAAAGGTTTCAAAGTGGCGCTGATTCATATCTATTATACTAAGATTCAAGTAAGCTCCAAGATTCAGCAAGCTTGAAAAAAAGACAAAAAAACTAAAACTAACCACACACACCTCCACCCACTCCCACCAAAATCCATCAGAACAGTCACAAAACCAGAAGGCATTCAGCAGACCAGTTTGACAAGGGCTTTCAAAATTACTTTGAATCACTGGCCTTTGCACCTTGCTCTAGCTTCCAGATATATCAACAGGAATCTGTGTCAAAGGTGTAACTACAAATATTACGAACTTTTTAGACATGAACTTCTTAAATACAGAACAAGAAGCTTAACTCCACAGTACTTCAAGTAATGCTTGCAAATTACTTAGTAGTTGGTGCAAACACTTTCAGTAACCAGTGTTATTATTCTGCTCATCCTGGACAAAGACGTACTAAAGCTCTGGACACTGGCACTGGCAGCTGTAACCAATATTCCATTCCTACAATGTAATATTCAAGCCCTCCAAGCCTGCCTGTCACACAGTCCAAATACAGACAGCTCCCCATTCATGAGGAGATGCAGAAACCATCCTCATTCCATGACCCAGGGGCCATTTCTCAGGTGCAGAGGGACAAAGGGACACCTGCACATTGGTTACAGGCAAGAGTGGCTCAGGCCTTATGATGAGACAGGGAGCCTGCAGCCTCTTGGATCCACCAGGCAACCCTGAACTCAGCCCTCAAAATACAGAGGTTTCAAAGCTTTGGAATTTACATCCTTGGAAGGTTACCACCTATTAAGATGGGGGGGGAAAGAGTACACAGCTCCCAAGATACCTTCTTCGTGTACCAGGTGCTCAGAGTAGACGCTTTACAATCACTTCCTGCCATTCAGGACTGCATCATGCCAATTGGTGGAGACAGATGACTCTGTCATCCTCTGCATAAAGCAGCTATTGCTTTTAGGAAAAAAATGCTCAGTGCCATATTATTAGCTAAATCTTTAAATAATAAGTACATCAAAACCACAGAACAAGCACAGCAGAAGCACAATTGTGCTAACACAACTTTCACCTTTTTACCCCAAAAAACCAGCAAGAGAGAAGAATTTAGTATCACATCTTGCTTTAAGCTAGGCATTATTTAAAGTGGTAAATATCCTTATAAGTTTGTGCTTCTTTGAGAAAAAGAAAAATGAGCTGAGATGACACAGCTCTATTCTACTATTCCTGAGATTACACTGCCAATGCACTGCTCAATCACAGGTCTGAAATAACAGTGGGTGTGGGAAACCAAAGGACAGATAAAACAGCCTTTAAATCCGTGTATCAACCAAATGTCAGGCTCTCTCCAGAAGCAGTAGAACTTGATAACACACATTGCTGAGAGGCCAGCTAAGTGCCACCAATAAAAACCCAGCTTCTTCAATCTGCTGTTCCAAGATGACCATCACAGTAATTATCAGAGCTGAGGCAATGCTCAAACACGTTTGACCTCGCCACAACATAACTTCCAGTTACCAGAAAAATCACCATTCACCCAGCCCATGAACTCGCTGTGTAGGGGACACTGGCCGAGGAAAGGGTCTGCATAGCACCAGAGGCAGCCTGGGAAGACCTTCCTCCAAGAGGAAAACTGATGTATGCAGGCACCAGCCATGTAGGGCTACCTGGAGCTTGGGAAATCCTGCAACACACGTGCCTTAGTTCCTCAGCAGCAAAATGCTCGACAAAAAAAAAACAAAAAAAAAGAAACCCACCAAATAAAAGGATTTGACGGGACAGAAATAGAGATTGCTCAAAACAAGAAGCTACTTTTTTTAAAACTTCTCATGTTGTTTATTCACATGCTTTAGTTTTACTGTGAACATTACCTGTAACCTTCAGACACTGAACAATGTCAGAGAAACACACAAGGGACATGAGCAACAAGAGTAATATGATTAATTATTTGCTTCAGGACATAAACTACAAGTTTTAACTATGGGTCAAGATGACCAGTAGAGATGAAAGAAAAAACTTCTTTGACCCGATGCAGCTGCTTTAACTACACAATAAACTAAAGATAGCTTCAGTGGGAAATGAGCTGTTTGTAGTTAGAGCATTTATTAATACAAACCTACATCTCCAAGTGCTGATGAAGTTTGACACACACTTCCTGTATGACAGCAAGAAAACAACTGATGAACAATGTTGGGAACCACGGCTCCGAATAAGGTATGCTGATGACTCAGGCATCTCATGTAAACCCAGTATGTATATGGCTTCTTCATGCTAACAGAAAACAATTGTAACAAACTTTGAGGTGTCCAAAACAAACTCCCTTATTTGCAGAGATTGGGTTTTCCCTCTTTCAAGGGAAAACAATAAGTTAGTGCTATGGTAGCCTCTCCACCTTTCATCCATCTGTCAGCTCACTGCACCTTCACCACTGGCCGCCCTAAATGCAAATACCTGATCAATGTTAAAGTTTGTCATTCAAGCAGCTAGTCATTAATCTCACTAAGCAATGAGCTACTCACTTTGGAGTCAAATAAAGCTTTTTTACAAAGCACTTTTAAGATATGCCTTCCCCTCATTCCCTAAATGCATGCAATTAGGGACAAAACAGGTAACAAGCAATTGCAGATAATGAAATAATCTGCAGATGATTCAACGGAAATAATAATAATAAAAAATTCCAGCCATGAAAAGCCTCAATATTTTATTCAGTTTCTCTAGACACTTAAAAAAGTGACCATCACCCACAGATGCTGATTACAACTTCAGAATTATCGCTAGATTTCTTTTTTACTGCAGCATGGATTACCTGGCATACACCACAATCAATCTTCAACCTCCTTTTGGGCTTATCCTCGATTTGAAACTCAAGTGCATCTGAACCACTGACCCACAAGCAGTAGTCCAGCTGAAAAGGAGCATTTCTCCTTCAGGATTATTGTCAGAAAGCACAAATAGGCAGCACTGATCAGGGTCCAGAAGGCACTATGTATCTTACGTGATTCTTACAATATATTAAGTAAACCACTGACAAAACGTTTTATAAGAGATAAACTTGTTCACGAAAGTTGTCAGATGCACAGCAGCAACATCAGTTCTCAAACATAGCAGGCACATGTAGCAGCAAATCTGCTACATTAACCCGCGAGCACACCCCAACTGAAAACACGGAGAGAGGAACAAAATCAGTCAGTTCAGCCCTTGCCTTCCTGCTGAAGCGGCCAAAATCACTGCTAACAACTTCCAACTATGAGAGCAGTCCTCGGCCAGACACGCCCTCCCTCCAAAAAAGCTTCTTAAACGCGAGTGGTACCACTTTAACCAATTACACCCTAATCAGCGCATTCCCACTGTCCACTCTTACGGCTGCAGCCATTTACCTTCCACACCGACTATACCACAGCACATGTACCTTTATCCTCTTAGGAAGGCAGCACATGTCATTAAAACATTAAGAAAAATCAGGGAAGAGGCAACAGTCATACCACTAAGAGTTGCGTTAAACTACAAATTACCTTTAAAACACATTATTTTAAAAGCATTGCAATTTCATTTTAGACATTTCTCTTGGCAGTTCGGTTCAAGTGAAGGAAAGCTTTACAAGGTATCTTTTTTTTTCTTCTTTTGACAGAGAAATTCTCCGTCGAGTCCTGGCGCACAGTAAGAGACTGGTAAGCGCCGTCATTCCCGTAACCCCGTTCCATGATGCACGTTAACACGAGTCCCTAAACCCGGCACTTTTTCACTCCAGCAGCAACGCGTCACTCGCTGGAAATAGCGTTCACCTTTGGCAGGCGCGGATGCCGGCGCTGCAGGGTCACGCCGGGCATGTGCAGCATCTCCCCCCGGGCCCGCGGGAGGCTCTGCCGGGACCCCGCGCTCCTGCTGCCCAGCCCCGGACCCGCCACTCTGACCGGCAGCCTGCGAGCGCAACAGGCCCGCTCGGGGCCGCGGGGAGAGCGCCGGGGCTCCCCCGAGGGCAGCGCTAAGCCCGGGGCCGGGATGACCCGGGGCCGGGCCGGCAGCGGCCCCCGCTGCGGCTCCGTGGCCGCCGGAGCGGCGGGGCCCAGGCGAGGCCGCGGCACGGGGAAGGCCCGGGAGAAGCTCGGCACGGGCGCGGGGAGAACGGCGGGGGCCGGAGCGGGCGCGGCCAGGCCCGGGCGCGGCGCGGACGCGGAGCCGCTCCAGGCCGGGCCCCGCCGGAGACTCACCTTGGCGGCGCCGCCGGGCTGCAGCACGTTCTGCTCCACCGTCATGGCCCCCGCGCGGCTCCCGGCGGCGCCCCGGGCTCGGCGGGGGGCGGCGGCGCCGGGCGGCGGCGGCGGCTGCGGCGCCGCGCCCGGGCTGGGCGAGCGGGGCGGGAGGCGGGGCGGGAGGGGGAGCCCGAGTCACCGCCCGGCGGGGGGAGCAGCGCGGCCCCGCTCCGGCCCCGCTGCCACTCCCGGAGCGCCGAGCGCCGCCCTCGGCCCGGCTGCGGCTCCCGGCGGCGCCGCCCCGCGCACCTGCCCCGGGCGCAGCCCCCGCCCGGCCCCTTCCCCGCCCTGTCACACCGCCCGCCTCCATCTTGGGAGCTCCCGGCGGGAGCGGGCGGCCTCGCAGAGTCCCCGCGGCCGCCCCGCTCCTCCCCCGGGAAGGGCTCCGCGTCCTTCGCCGGCTGCCGGGGCGGCCCCGCCGAGCCCCCGGGGAAGGCGAAGTTTGCCCCGCTGCGGGGGAACCGAGAGCAGCTCGGACCGGCGCCGCTTTCCAGGAGATGGCCAGGGAATTTCTGAGCCAGCGCTGCTTCCAGTGCTGTCGCTGCTCGTAGCGACAACAAACCCTATCACCAAATGAATCGCAGAATCATAGGATCGTTCGGGTTGAAAGGGACCTTTTGGAGATCACCTGCCCCAAATCCCCTGCCAAAGCAGGGTCATCAGGAGCGAGTGGCACAGGAACGTGTCCAAGTGGGTTTGGAATGTCTCCAGAGAAGGAGACTCCACAACTTCCCTGGGCAGCTGTTCCAGTGCTCTGCCACCCTCAACAGTAAAAAGTTCTTCCTCGTGTTGATGTAGAACTTCTTGTTTTAGTTTATGGCCATTGCTACTTGCCCTGTTGCTGGGCCTCACCATCCTCTTGGATCTGCACTTTGAAGACCTTTGCATACATTAATGAGGTCCCCTCTCAGTCTTCTCCAGACTAACCAGGCCCAGCTCTCCTCATAGGAGAGATGCTCCAGACCCTTATCACCTTTTTAGCCTCTGCTGGACCCTCTCCAGGAGCTCCTTGAGGAGCCCAGAACTAGACACAGTAATGGTGCATCCTAAAGTTGCAGGTCTTCCTTTCCCTGAGGTTTGACTGGGTGAGCCATGAAGTGATGATGTTCAGAATTCAAATTGTACGGGAATGTCATTAATGGAAGGCGGAGGGAGGTGGGGTCTAGCTCATCTTGGCAGCTCACAGTGAATTTTGGTACCACAGATAAACAGTATTAGGGAAGAGAGTGTCCCTCTGTAACACTGCTCTGGAGTGTCACGGAAAGGGTGAGAAAGGGCTCTGCTTTGGGCATCAGCACAAAGGGCAAAGACACTCAGCTGGCCAAAACACGTTTGCCCAGTAGCTTGTGAAGGGCAGCACTGAAGCCCACCCCACGTTTTGAATGCCTGCCCAGTGTGTGGTACCTGTGTCCCAGTTCCATTCCCAAGGCTGGCGTGTTCCTTAGTCTGTAGGAAAAGCTGCGGAGAGCAGCACGGTTCTGAGAGCCCCAAATACCTAAAAATTACGAGCTGGGAGTCTACTGCAACAAAATTAATTGTGGCTACCGCTTATCTGTGATGCACAGTCTTTACTGTAATTCAAGGCCCTCCTCTCCCTACAGGAGAGTACGGATCTTTTTAAACCTGAGGTTATCAGGTAATAACATCGCTAGAAGATCCTGGACTTTAAGTAAAATACAAGCATAGCTCATGACAACCTGCAGCCACGGCTTTATTTTACTGTAGCTTCTGTGTAGGAGATGTTGCAATGTAATCAATATTTGCACTTCTCAGGTTTGTTGCCCATAGATTGTATCAGTTTTAATGTTTTTCCTTTTATGCTGCAATATGCAAGGCAATTTTTAAAATTAATGTTCCCGAAGAATTTATTGTGCAAAAGACAAGGAAGTATGCAGATAATATAACGGGATCAGAAATGGCTTGTAAATTACATCTCTGGAGATAGGAGCAGAAATTCTCTCTGCTCAGACTGATGGCTACATCTGAGAAAGACAAGAGTGGCAGCCTGGGGCTGTTCTTAAAAAACTTTTCTGTAGCAGTTGTGCAGGAGTGCTAGTCCAATTTCTGCTTCCTCTTCTAATATATAATCATTCTTTTACCTTTTATACATTTTTACAACTTCTCCACCGTGCTTTTGACATGTGCTATGTTCAGATAACTCTTATCAAAAACTATTGTTTACATTATTTGAAAATATTATAAACAAATTAGCATTTAAATGAACTACATTTGCCTTGCAATATTTTTTAAGTGTTTTCACTGTTTCATTTAATAGCTTTTCTGTGTCAAAAAATAAAATATGTCCTAAAAGAAAGAAGAAATCATACATTTTGTTCAACTCTCTTTAAATCAGGATAGGATGACAAAGTGTCACCTTCCATTAAATTCCCCTCCCCCAATAAAATTATTACTTTTAAGGGCTCTGGCTTCCTAACTTTCTTTAATATAAAAAAAAAGGCTGAGCAATCCAGTCTCAAGACAGAGATTTGCCATTGAAATACATAATCTGAACCACAGCCATTCAAATGAGGATTGTGTCATACTTACATACTTATGGTTTTGCAGGGAACCAGAGGGAGCAGAGTTCCCTGTTCTGTTTGCAGCTTAAGCTCTCTATGAAGTACACAGAGCACAAGACTGGAATTTGTACCTCATCAGAAAACACCAATGGTTTTGTCAGGGCCACAGTTTAGGAAGAATATATATGTGCCTATTTTCACAGAAGTTTGTTGGGTTTCCCCTTAGTTGCTCCTCACCTTTTAACAACATTACAGGGTTTGGCTGTTACCAAACATGGTTTGGTTGTTAAACAATTGGTGACATGTTGCACAACCTCTGCCTCCAGCTGCTTGGTCCCCTGAGCAAGGCTCCCCCTCTTCCCCTTGTCTGCACGTCCTCCTCACTAGCAGTGCTGGAGAAGTGATTCACCTGAAATATAAGCACAGACTCCCCTCCCCCCTAAACTGGTTATTTTCCTCGGCTAGATCAGTTCCCCAAAATGGTTCACTGACTGGCTGCAAGAACAGCTGTGCTGGCCCAGAAGAGAGGGTGACCCAGGCTCAGCGATGCTAGTTTCGTTTCACCCATTTCTCAGATCAGTAAGTGATCGTGCCTTCCTGATCTGCACACTGACAGTTGAAGGGAAAGCCTGTGCCTGCTCACAGGAATCCTTGTTTTCCCATTTTTGCAAAGAGCAGCCAAAACATCAGCCAACCACAAAACACTTTAGCACATGTTTTATTGTATACAAAGATCATGTACAACAAGAAATAGCTCATTATTTCCCTCCATTTTCAATAGACTTGGGTTTGTCTTTAATTAAGTGCAACATTTATTTAGGGCTTTAATTAGACTGTGGCTGCATAAGTTACAGCTGGGGAAGTCAGGACTTCTTGGTTTTCTTTTCCCAAATGTGTAACCTGCTATATTGGGGATGAGAAAGCACTGCTTTAAGAAGCACATTGAACACTACATACACAGGTTCTGTAGTTAACCTGGAAAAGAGCTGCCCTGCATTCACATTTACAAACCTCATCTTGGAGCATTTTCACTTACCCCTTTTGGCTCTGCAGTAAATAGTTCAGCCAACTGATAAAACCACAGCCATTCAAGCAGCTTTTATAGCATGACACTTTTGAAATCATCATTTGGCAATTCTCTCTGTCACTAGTAACCATTCAAGCGTTGCTTTGGCACCTGCAAAATCTCCTGGTGGTTGTCATCCAAGGGAACCAAAACAAAAACTAACCAAAGCTGTAACTCAGGAAAGAGAGCAATCATCTTCTGAAAGCCTTTTGAAAATTTAAAACTAAAATGAGGTGAATGTAGGTTTTGTTACTCTGCAAAACACAACTTCGTATTCCATTGTTTATTGACCTTAAATTGAAGGTCACTGACCTTCTAATTGCTTCCTGACAGCAGATGTCTGTTCACGTGCCTTCTTAAAGTCAGGTGCTACATTTAAAATAAAAATTCTCAGATTTAGACCCTTGAGTTCATGTAATTGCAGCTGAATTACACAGAAATTATGGATTTTACAAGAACCTGGTTAAAGTGCTCTTTTTATCCTGGCCATCTTCACATTTTATTTACTTTCTTGATCACCCTTGCACATTGATCATATTATTTCACACAGCTTTCCTGAGAAGCCATAATATTTTTTGTATGTGGCTGCAAGGAATTTAGAGCTCAGCCTCAACTACTAGTCCTTCCAATAGGCATTACCCAGTGTTTTTCAAAGAGTCGAAAGTTACAGAACAATTTCCAAAATACTTTTTTCTGTCATTGAAAAGGTAACTCATTTAAACAAGCATGTATCACAACAAATCACTATTTCCACTGAATTCAATTTAAGCAAAATAATAATTAACATTCCCCCTGGTTTAGACTTTACCTAATGATTACATAATGTTTATTTTGAAACTATTTAACATTTGTAACTTTTAGCACCACAAGTGTATAACACTCACACTTCAAGGTCTAAACAATTTATTCTGGATTACATAGTAATCAAACCAGTTCTACTTTTTTCCCCCCCATTCTTACTTTGCATGTATTTTTTTCAAGTGGCAAACACCCTGTTCTTCTCTGCCATTCGACTTCTCAGTCATTTCTTGCTTTTTGTTGAAGCAAATGCTCGTTGACCATGATGATAGCCTATTACAACTCCTGGACAAGATTCTCATACATGCAGTCATGTAAATGCATGCTGCACTCCTCCTTAAATGAATAATGACAGACAATTGTTTTTTTAGACAGTGACCTTACATTTGATGGTCTATGTGGATAAACAGGGCTGCTCTCTATCAGGATCCTGTAACCCACACATAAAACTAGGAGTCAAAGCTGATGGGACTAGCACAAAATTCCCATGATTTGCTTTTGTCATTTTGTATGCCCTTCTTTCTTGTCACTTACAATCAAAGTTAAAGAAATTAAAGGCCCCATACTGTAGTGCATAATTTCACATAGGTTTCAGGTATTGAATTCTTAGGGTGATATTA